TTTCTAGTTCTTTTGGTGTTAGTTGACACTTTGATTGTACTCTTTTGAATTTTTTTTATATTAATATTTTTTTCGTTTGAAGAAAATAAATCATGAGCAGATTGAAATGATTGACTATGTTGGTACAAGCTAGTAACACCCACATCCCATGACCAAACGAAAAAGAAAAAGAAAAAATAAATTTTAAAAAAGCAAAGCAAAACAAATAAGAATATCGTGAAATAGTTTTTTTTCTCCAACGACAAATATAGAAAATATATTAACTCAAATAAGAACTACACACGATCCCACCATAACACATAGGCCATGGTGGTCAACAACGGGGACTCGAACATCAAGTCCCCTGCAAAGACCTATCGGCTAAAAACAACGAGTCTCTACAAATAAAATTATCCCAAATGAATATACAATTGAAAAAAGAATGAAGAAGGCATTTTTTATCATCTAAAACAACATACAAATAGCAAACAATTTTGTCTAAATTCTGTAACAAAGATGCTATGTTTTTGTCTTGAATCTTGAACTTCACCTCCTTCCATCCAAGATCCTTAATCTTTAATAATCCCCACCTTACTGCTAACAGACCAGCCTCCATTCTACTACCCTCAAAACTGATTGCCTCAGACCACTGCTGTAATAGACTCTCACCTTCCATTGCAACTCCTCCAAGTCATAATCTACCACAAGCAGAGCATGAGGCATTGATAGAGAGAGAACTCTGCCCTACAAACAACAACAACAACTACACAGTCTTTTTGTCCCAAGCAAGTTGGAGTAGGCTAGAGATGAAACCCAAGAGAACCAATGGTAAGAGAAACACAAAATGACTCAAAACAAAAGGAAGAGATTGGAGCAAAAGAGAAAGAAGCAAAAGTCAAAAATTCATGTCGCTCTTCCCTACCTCTCTGTAAAATTGTATTCCAAGCACGGACCTCTGAACCTCTCCACTCCTGGCCTCTGAACAGTCCGCAAAGCTAATCATAAAAAATACATGTAGCTTTTTTTTGCACATACCACAATGTAGCTCTCTGTTGTCTACACCTTTTTTAACTTCCAACTATTCCTAGCTTTCCATAGCCAACATATCAAATAGACAAAAATACATACCCTCTCTTCCATATGGTTGGATTTGGTGTAGTTACTGACCTCCATCCACCGGTCTTGAAATTTGCATTCCTTGTTCTTCAAGATATTCCAGCTCACCCCAACTAATTTCCAACAAGTTGTAGCTCTTGTGCACCTGAAGAATATGTGTTCTGGTCTTCTTCCTCCTCACCACACACATCACATATCAGCTCTGCATTCATCTCTCTCATTGCACTTTGAACATTGGTGCTAAAAAATTTATTCCAGCACTTCCAGATGAATGTTTTTAGCTTGTGCTTGATAGAAAGTTTTCATGCTTTTGTCCAGAGTCTTATCATTGATCCTCTTGAAGTGCTTGTCTTGTGTTATTTATCCTGCATGCTATTTGAGTCAAGATTAGTTGGTAAGTTGAGTCTTATCATTGATCCTCCTGAAGTGCTTGGCTTGTTTTATTTCTTTTGCATGCTAGCTGAGTCAAGATTAGTTGGTAAGTTGACTTAACAGTGAACTTTCCATTCCTTTCCCAATGCCAAACAAGTTTATCGTTCATTCCAGTTTTGCTAATTGGCATATTTACAACAATTAAGGCATCAACATGAGTGAAGGTTTGATAGACAACATCCCTATACCACTCATTTCTCCCCTCACTCATCAACTATATAACCCACTTAAACCAATTCTTATCACTAGGAAAACTACATATGGGTTTAAACGTCAAATTACCAGGAACCCAAGGGGAATCTCAAACTTGAACAAATGACCATTTTCTATTTGAAACCTCACCCTTAGTTCTAGGCTATCCTCACACCTAACAACTTCTCTACATCCAAGTGGCACTACTCTGAGCTCTCACCTCCCTTAGTCTCTACTTACTAAAGTACCTCCCTTTTATGACTCCACTCATAGCAAATTAGGGTTGGTTGACACCCTTCAGAGTTGCTTCATGAATAAAGTCTCATTGAAAGCTTTGAGGTCCATAAACCCTAATCGCCCCTCTTCCTTAGGCCTTGTTAATTTCTCCCAAGAAGCCCAATGAATTTTGCTCCCTCCACTATAAAATAACAGTCTCATTACAAATCTTAGAACAAATTGAGACAAGAACTTTAAAATATGACATCACATATGTTGGTATAACATTTATCACAGTTTTTATAAGTATCTCTCTCCCTTCCTCACTCAAAAAATTAATTTTCCAGTATGTCACTCTTTATTCATTGTCTCACTTATGTATTTAAAAATCTCCCTTTTAGATCTCCCAAATCCTAGTGACAGCCCGGGGAAAATTTTTTGGGCCACCAATTAATAAATTTTTTGATTTCACGTACACTTCAAATTATTTGTTCTTTGTATATTCAATTGACGGATATAAATATGTTTATTTAGTTAATTAGTCAAGTATATTTGAGTAGAAGAACTACAGATTTTTTAGAGCACTTATATTGATATGATATGTTTCACGACATTATGTCCCTACATAATTTACATAAGTTAGAAAGAAAGAGAAGGGGGAGAGGGAACAAGCACTGACAGATCCATCCAACACCACTGGAAAAAGACTTGGCACTTACATGTAAAACCAAAGGTGAGAAATTTCCTCTGGAAATGTTGACATAACTGGCTGGCAACTAAAACTAATCTGCATAAAAAAGGAGTATTAGAGGATGTTTTGTGTTGCTGGTGTAGGGAAAAGGAAGAAAATTTGTAGCATCTATTTTTTAACTGCCAAAGAGCTCAAACTGTTTGGAAGGTAGCAGGAATTTTCTAGAACAAGCTTCAGATGTAGAGAGTTCATTTTCAGGACTGGTGGGAGGATTTGTGTCCTTTGAAGGATAGCAAGGTGAACAACGATTGGATTTTTCTATCTCCTATGGTGGATGTGGATGACCAGAAATATTTGGACCTTCAAGAATGAGAGAATTTCTGAGCTGAAACTGGTTGAAGGAGCAAAGATGGAATGACTTGAGTTTGAGTTTGGAAAAGGGTTATGTGGGCAGATTGATGAAAGACCTCAAGAGTTGGGATGAGACAGGGAGTATGGGCACCTCAATGCACCCAGTACAAGTGATTCAAACCATGCTATCTAGAAGATTAGAGGCATAGCCTAGGAGCAGTGGTGACTCAATTGTTTGCTCCTAAGGACCCCCATATTTCATACCATCTTGAGGACTCCTTGCTTTAGATCAGAGACTGGCTAGCTTGGGGAGTTGAGCAAAATTCACACAGAGCATAACTTTACTTAAGGGATGAAAGGTTAAGGAGAAAGTTGTATAACCGAGGTGACTTTAACTGGGATGTGGCTGTTCTTGCTAAGGATATTCATTCGTTGCCCTTGGACATTCTTGCTGAGGATATCCATTTTGTTTCTTCCCTGTCAGTTTCCTAGCTTTGTTTTAGTTTATGTGTATTAGTCTTTTGTTTCTTTATTTCGGTTTGTTTGAACTTTTAGTTTCCTTGTTCTTTTGTTGTGTTTGGGTTGCTAGTTTTTTTATTCCTTGGTGTTCGGTTTGGCTGGACCATATTTGTCGTGTAGGGATCTCCATTGACCGCATGTTCCGTCTCTGACGTCACGCCTTCCCGCTGTCGCTGCAATCGTTCGCTATGGATTCGCCGCCCTCAGTTGTCAGCGAGTTTCCGATTGGGGTGGTGGGCCCTCGATCTGAGTCCGATGGCTTTTCTTCGTCGGCGGGTCTTCGATTAGAGAGGTATTGCCCCTTAATCTCCTTCTTGTCTGCAATTGGGTTCTGTTTGGTTGCCTTTGCTGTTGGTGGAGCTTCCGGTGGTTGTGCGGGTCTCAAGATGCCGGTGATTTATGGTGAGGCTGGGAGGCGTGCGAGTCTGTGGACGGGGCGGGATCCCGGTGGCTGCGACACCATGTGTCGAGAAAGCTGGGGTTGCAGGATCGGTCTGCTCTCATCCCCGATCCTCCGGTGTTGGGGAGACGGGTGTCCGGAGTACCTGAGCTCGGCTAGTGGTGTTAGACGAGGTTGGATTGCGCTGATGTGGGGAATGGGTCTGTTTCTCTCGGTTGGTGGTGGGTTGATTCGAGACGGGTTCAGGGTTCGGGTTCGGCTTCTGTATAGGCGGTTCCGCAGTTTCAGTTGTTGTACCTCAGGCTTGGGATCTTCTCGGACTGACTGTTTTTCTACTGGTTTGGGCTCGTTTGTTGGCTGGGGAAGGCCATATTCTATTAAGTTTCTATTTAGTTTTGTGGTTTTGTTTTGTTCGAGTATGTGTTAGTGTTGTTCTTGGGTCTTTTTTTTTTCGTTTGGGCCATTTGACCTCTATGCGCCTAAGTGTCAAACTTATTCTCCTGTTGGGAGCCGACACTCAGGTATTCTCCTGTTGGGAGCCTAGTTAGTTTTTTAGTTTGTGTTGGTGTTGTTGGTTGGTGGTGTTGTGAGTTTTGTTATTCTAGTGTTGCTAGGTCAGGCGTTAGGCGATCTTTGAATTTGCATGTCAGTTTTTCCAGTCTTCAGTTGTGCTATTCAGCCTTTAGGTGCTTCTATTAGTACGTTGTGCGTTTTTTATTAATATAATACCTCACTCGTTTTGGGGGAAAAAAAAAAAACTAGCTATAACCTAAAATATTTCTATTTCCATTTTGCCTTTTTTTTTTCCCTCTCTCCATCACTATCTTCTTCTTGTTTCACACACTCACTGCCAGTTTCTCCTCCTTTTCCATCCCTGTAGGGTTTCCTAAGCGTTGTTTGGATACCAGAAAACTGGATTTTTGTTCTCGACAATTCAAGAAAATTCGAAAGAAAGCTCCACCGTTTGATCCTCTCTAATGCATGCAGCCGGATAACCCTTTTCCCGCAGATCCACAGCCGCAATTCTCTCTGTTCCATCACCTTCTGCTGTGTTGGCATCGGCCAATTGAGGTGCTCGAGAACGGAGGACTGTAAGAAGCTGTAATGAAGCCCGAACCCGGATCCGAAATCGAGCTGCAGGGACCCGGGCCCGAATTCAGCCACAGTGATCCGGCTCGCCCCGATCCGGACGCTCTGGATTGTGTGGACCACTGCAATGTGCTCAGAGTTAGGCCGAACGAGGCCAAGGGTTTCGCCGTGTATTCCAGGAGCAAGAGGTTGAACGATAGGTGTATAAGTGGAGTTGGATATTTGAGTAAACTCCAGAAGGATTCGGATATTTTGGTGAAGGCTGAGGACGGCGTGAATTCGGACAGCGATGATGTTCTGGTTGGTGGTCAAGTTCTCAAAAATGGTGGGGCTGAGGGTAGTATAGAGACTTCGGGGGTTAAGGGATGGGATGCTGAAGATGAAATGATGGAGATTGAAGTAAAAGAGGAGACGTTTGTACGTAGGTTTACGCATTCTGTGTTTAAGATGAAAGACGACTCCGAAACAGAGAATGGGAATTTAAGAGACGCCGTGATTTTGGAGGCGGATGGTTTTGCGAGTGAAAGTTTAGCAGTGTCGGGTAGTCTCGAAACGAAAAAGGTGGAGATGAAGATGCCGAAGCAAATACTTTTGAAAGGGCTGCCAACGACAGTTAGAGAGCTTTTCGAGACTGGGTTACTGGAAGGATATCCAGTAGTTTACAATGGTGGCAAGAGGGTATTAAGTTCGAAATCCTTCTTTACACATGTACTGTTTTATTGTTGAGTTATCACTTTTATTCTGGTGTGATCGGTGTTACTATTTTTGAATTCTGTATATGTAATAGTTGGATTCTGTATAATGGTTAAACTACTAGTCAGTATAGTCAATGGTCGTAATTATATAATCTGGATTGATTTAATCAGAAAAAGAAGTTTTTTAGCTATTGTTTGCTCTATAATTAATCCAGCTCTAGAGATAATCTGGCATCTGCATCTTGTGTTTAGTACAACAATGATTGGCTTTCCTTGAGATTATGCTGATTTTAAATTTTTTCTAGGGATTCCCACTACGTGGAACAATAAAAGATACTGGAATCCTCTGTTCTTGCAGTTTGTGCAATGGAACACGGGTGCGTGCTCAATGTTTAGTTTGGGGCCTTTGTTCTTTCCCTTGTATGTATTACACCTGGGCACTTGGCTCCAAGATCAATGATATTTTCAATCTGTGTAGGTAGTTCCGCCTTGTCAATTTGAGATACATGCCAGCAAATCATATAGACGTGCATCTCAGTATATATGCTTTGAGAATGGGAAAAGCCTCCTGGAAGTGGTCAAAGAATGCCGTAAATCTACCGTAAAAGCATTAGAACAGACTATTCGAAACTTCGTTGGGCCTTTCCCTGTGAAGGAATCAGTCATTTGTTCAAGCTGCAAGAGTGAGTATCTTATGTTTAGCACTGAGTGTGTGCCTGTGTTATGTGTTTTGTCATCATTAATCTCCAGCATGTTTGCTGTAATCACTTTTAAGGGACTGCTTGGTGCTGTTTGGTTTGTAGGGAAATTTCTTGCAACATCAGCTGCGAAGGAGGAACGACTCTGTGATTCTTGTGTGATTATTCTAAATTCAGAATTTGATACTGATTGTGAAAAATCAAGGTATGTATTATCTTACAGTTAAGTATTGCGGGATTTTTATTTGTAACCTACCCTGGTTCCTTTTTATATTAATGGTCTGTTTTACGTGGACATAACTTCACATGCACCTGATGGGTGATGTAAGATATAAAGAAATAAGACAAAATGAAACAGAAAGAAATCTCTCTACTCTCTTGGACACTTAGTGGGCGTTTTTTACATATCTTGTGATAAGAGATCAGAAGGTGCTATAAACGAACCAAGGTGTGCGCATAGTATGATTAATGACTTAAAAGAACTTCTTTGAGGAGTTCAGGCAGAGTCTGGAGCCCTGGAAATGCAAATGTTTGAATTAAACTCGATATTCCACTGGCTTTAAGTCTCTGCAAAAGACAAATAGCTTATGTTTCCTTTAATTTTGGGATGTCATTGTCCGAAATTTGAATATCATTTATCTCTCTTTGACATGCTGTTTGAGTTTTTGTCTAGGGGTTAAGTGAAGAGTAGCTATTCTACCTTATCCTCTATAGTTGTTTATAAATTACAAATATGTAGGTATGAACTATTTATGAATTAATGTTCTTAATTTCATATCTATGTGGCTGAGTCTTGCAGTCCTTGGGAGAAACATTTGGCCTTGGGAATGCCTGAAAATAGTGGAGTGCGTAACACGCCAAAGAAAAGGGGTTGGCGAGGGAGGAAAAAGAGAAAGTTTGAATCTTCTCTCTCTTCCCATTTTTGATCTTGTTGCTAGATTTGTTTATTTACTATTTTTAGTGGCTGGAGATTAATAGAAATTTTAATTATGTTATACATTTGCATTTCAGGCATTCAGAGTTGACAAGTCATGCGACATCTACTGGAAAATCCTTGTTGCATGCAACGAGAAAAAAGAGCCAAAGGAATATTTTAAAAATGTGAGTTTTTTTTCCCTTAAACTAAGTATGTTCATCTTTTAAGAATTTCATCCTTTTGTGACGATTCATGTTTGATGCTAAGGTTGTCAAAGTCAGCTTCTGTGGAAAAGTCATCAGAAAGTACTTCAATGGGTTGCTACGATCCAACTTCACATGTTAGGACTTCCATGCATGGCTCAGTGAAGATTAAGTCTACAAGAAAGATCATGAAGAAGTTGGTGATTATGCCTATTCTCTTTGTATCTCGATGTAACTACTATTGTTCTTGATTTTGTATTTAAAATATTCCTCTGTGGGCCTTTCAGAAATTCAAAAACTACATCGCTCTCCAAGTCCTCAAAAGGTGGATCTCCTTCAGGCTCTATTCAATCAAAGAGTTCATTAAAAATAACTAAAAAGTAAGCACATTAACTTTGATGTTATCCTATGCATTCTTTATAGTAATTACTTTAGGCATATGAGAAAACCGTAGTTGCTTTTTTCTGACCTTCGACTCAGGGATCAGAGAATGCATAGATTGGTCTTTGAGAAAGGTGGATTACCAGACGGCACAGAAGTTGCTTACTATTCTAATGGCAAGGTGGTTCTCAAATGATGCTATATTTTATGATCTGTTTTGCTGCTGTTTTAGCATCGTAATCCTCTTTGCATCTGTTTGTAGCTATTGCGTGATGGTTATAAGATGGGATCTGGAATAATTTGCCGCTGCTGCAGCACTTTGGTAAAAGTTGATTTCACATCTAAAATACCTGGTTTTTAAAAGTATATTTACATAATTTTACCACTGTGAGCAGGTTAGTCCATCTCTGTTTGAAGCTCATGCTGGGCGGGCCTCCCGCAGAAAACCGTATGTCTCTTTAGTTTATCCTCATGTCATTTAACATGTATCCAACACTGTCAAGTTCTGATATTATCTGTAATTTGGCAGCTATATGTACATATACACGTCGAACGGAGTGTCTCTACATGAATATGCGGTCTCTCTATTAAAAGGGCGCAAGTATTCTTCCAAAGACAATGATGACTTGTGCATCATTTGTGCAGATGGTGGGAAGCTTGTGCTTTGTGACGGCTGTCCAAGGGCCTTTCACAAAGGTGGTTAGGATAGTGCAAGATTAGATTCATATTGTCCTTTTTTTCTCTTTGCAAGTGAACTTATACTCTTATTGGTCGCCTGGAAAATTCTTATTAGGCCCCCTTTTATTGCAATTTTGACATTATTTTAGGCATTTGTGAATACATTTGGCTGCTAATTTTTTAACTTAGTACCTTCCAGTATATGTTAGCATGCCTGGTGCCAACTTGAGAACAATTGTATGGATAATAAGTGATGGGTTCAGTTTATAGCCATGTTCTCTTCCTGCTTGTTAATCTTGAGATTTTCCTTATAAAATGCTCTCTACATATTAGAGGCTAACAATTTGGCGTACTCCTAGTGGGATGACATTTACCCTGTATCCTCATCTTACAATCCAGAGTGTGCATCTCTGTCAAGCATCCCTCGTGGTAAATGGTATTGTACATATTGCCAGAATATGTTCCAGAGGGAAAGATTCGTTCAGTGGAATGCCAATGCTGTTGCAGCAGGCAGAGTTTCTGGTATTGATTCAATAGAGCAAATAAGAAATCGCTGCACACGCCATGTGAAGAGCCCAGAAGAAGCCGAAGTGATTGCATGTGTGATCTGCAGGTGATGCACTTATATAACCTAACCTCATTTTGTTTTGCGTAGTTTGAAATGTAGTGGCTAACATGCACTTTTTGGTGCTTGCAGGGGCTATGATTTTAGTAAAACTGGTTTTGGTCCACGGACTGTTATCTTGTGTGATCAGGTACACTTCATGCCTTTGCTCATCGATTGTTATGTGGATACACTAATCTCAACCTAATTATGTATTCCAGTGTGAAAAGGAATATCATGTAGGCTGTTTGAAAAAATGCAAGATGGCTGATCTAAAGGTGAGCATGTCCATTTATATTTGTTTATCCCTTGTTGGGCGGTCATGTGCTTATAATCATGTATAACAGGAACTTCCAAAAGGAAAATGGTTCTGCACTGCAGACTGCAAGTGGGTATATTCTGCTCTGCAGAATTTGCTGAATGCTGGTGCGGAAAAGCTTCCTGATTCGTCTTTGGAGATCATAAAGAAGAAGCTAATAGAAAATACTCCTGAGGCTGATATTGATTTTGACGTGAGATGGAGACTTTTGAATGGGAAAGTTACTTCTCGAGAAACTAGGGTGCTACTGTCGCAGGCTGTAGCTATATTTCATGTAAGGATTATTTTATTGTAATTCGATGTACTCTATTAGCAGAATTTCGTGATAATATGTGAGTGGACTCGGGTCAGCGTATCAAACACTGAGGTCAAGACCACAATATGAATGGTTTGAGTAATTTTTCAAGATAAAATGTTATTGCTTCACAAAATGAAGCTGATTTTTATATAACTGTGAAAAGACGGATATTATCAAGCTAGCTTAGAGACAAACTTTAACATACTGCAAAAGGAATTTCATGCATGTTTTAGAACAACCGCCTCCTCTGGTAATATTTATATTACGAGTTAGGGTTTTGCTTATTTGGTTTATTTTTTTACATCTCATTGACTTTTTTAATATCTTATTATGCTTTAAATTTATGTAAACATTGCTGATGAATCTTTTTATTTCGTCCGTCAAGTTTTAAGCAACATGTTGTACCTTGACTGTGTTTCAGGATTCTTTTGACCCAATTGTTGATTCAGAGACTGGACGGGACTTCATTCCTGCTTTAGTTTATGGGTATGCCTCAGTTCTATATTGCTATCTATAATTTCTTTCGCTCTTTGTCCTTGTTGGTACATATCTTCCTCGCTATTTTCTGCCAGGAGGAATATAAGGGGTCAAGACTTCAGTGGAATGTATTGTGCTATTTTGACGGTGAAGTAAGATTTTTTGTTTTTTTTCATCCTCACATTTATTTTAGGTGTTGAGAAAATATTATTTTGGCAATCAGCAGTTTTTTTGCAAATATCTGCAGCTCAGCAGTTGTATCAGCTGTTATCCTTCGGGTTTTCGGACAGGAAGTCGCTGAACTTCCATTGGCTGCAACACGTGGTGGTAATCAGGGCAAGGTAGGTCTTTTGGTCATCCCAAATACTTTTATCACCCCCTTTTCTCGACAATTTATGAAAATAGTTTAGATCTTCTAAATCTATATACTGGTTCTGAAATGCTTGCAAAGTCACTTTGTCCAATTGTTATTTTCTATTTCATCAATTCATGCCATTAGTTTTTGGTTTGCCTTGATTTTCGTGTTATTTTAAATTTTTGCGTGCCAGAAAGCTGGTGCTCTTTAGTGTTGAGAATTAGCTGAATCACTCTTTTGTTGGAACGGAAACTTCTTTGCAGGGATATTTTCAAATACTGTACTCGTGTATCGAGAAATTGCTGGCATTTTTGAACGTAAAAAGCCTTGTACTCCCAGCTGCTGACGATGCAAAGTCAATTTGGACAGAAAAGTTTGGATTTGGAAAGATTCCTCAAGAGCAGGTATGCAACTGGCCATGTATCATTTTGACCCAGAAAAAAAAAATTTTGCAACATAATTATCAAATTTAGTTACTCCTTTGTGTTGTCTTGCAGCTTTTGAGTTACAGGAAAACATGTTGGCAGATGATGACTTTCGAGGGAACGTCAATGTTACAAAAAGCTGTTCCAAAATGTCGAATCATAAACCAAGACAAAGCAGATTCAGATGTGACGGTGCAGTAACTGGGAAAGCAAAAACTTCGAGCCATTTATCTTGCATCATCTTGGGTTTGTGTTCATTAAAATTTTGATGAGCTTTCGGAATAAACCAGCAGCTATAGATTCTAGTTGAAACGAGTCTGGCTGAGAAGGAACAAGGAAAATGGTTTGAGGATCATTAGGTTTACGTCTGCCGTGGAATGGTTGAATGGTGAAAAAGGTATCGTCAAGTAATTAATTTTTGTGAAGATTCAATAGCAAGGTCTAATTTTGTCTCCCTTTATTATTTCCCATCTGATTTTTTTGTTTCCCCGGTCTGTACATGAACTACATTGAGCAAGTACTTTGCATTAGGCTAGTATTTCTTGGTAATTTAAACCAAATGTGCCTGTCGAGATTTGAGCATGCTAACTTTCCGGCTTGAAGAACCCATCATATGTGTTACCCGATGTCGTTGTAGTCTGGTGGTTCCTGTATATTGTTTCGGTCCATTGTCGTGGAGTTTGTATGTATGCTTGTATCGTTTACCCTGGAAGATTATTTTTGCCCGATGTAGTTTTGATTCAATGCAGCTTAATGCTAATCGGTAGTGAGAAGAGTTTGTTATGGAAAATGGATGATGTGATGTGATGTGATGTGATTCAAACTCTGTCTTCAGTTCGATTTGTGTGTAGAAAACTAGAAATAATAGAGATCAACAAGTATTATATTATATCCTATACAGTGAGGCTAAAAACCGAAGTTTCGTGGAAGTATAGAACTGGGGTCGAGGCATGTTCCTTTATGGGACCAAGCTTGCCGGTGGTTTTTTAATTGGCTTCAGCGTTTGTATCTCTGGACAATTATATATTTATTTATTTATTTTTTTTTTTTTTTCAATCAAAACCATAGATATCTATTATAATTTTATAACACTAAAATTACAGACTAGATAGCAGCTAGAAAAGTTGAATCAAACAGTTAACTTGGTTTTTCTTTAGTTGTTTTGTTTTTTAACAAGTACAAACTGAACACTGAACAGTCGTTTCTACTGCCTTACTTTGCTCGATGGCTCGTCCCCTTGACGTCACAGCCCTTTCCTTTGCGAGCCGAAGAGGCATTCATGGGGTTAAATGTTTTAAAGCCCCAAAATGTAGACTAAATTCATTTTCTTGTTTCTTTTGTTTGTTGGTCTTGCATATCTGATTTTCTTTATTGCTTTTGTCCCTCGTCTCCTCACGTATAACTATTGGAACTTGGCAGCGCTTGGACGGAGCACGTTTTTCTATTTTAGGGAGTCGAACTGAGGATAAATTTTCCAATGGACTCCGTAGCCATTGCTCCTTAAATTAATTGAGCTTTCCATAAATGCAGGCATCTGGCCTCCATCTTTGTACCCAAAAAAAAAAAAAAAGCTTTCCATAAATGGGTTTGGGTAGCAATTGCTACCTAAATTATTGAGCTTACATAAATGGGATTGATTCCCGATTTTTCCGGAGCAATATATGGCTCCGTTTTTTTTACTTTATTTTTCTAACTTCGCTCCCAAATAAAAGCAAGTAGACATGGCCATTTCCCTGTTTCGGGTCGGAACCGTTGGGTTCGAACTGAGGGTTGGAGGGTCTTGAACCGGCCTGAACATAGCAAGGGACGATTTAGTGATTTCCCGGTCGGCCCGGTTCAATTTAAAAAATAAAAAATAAATAAAGTATTTTTTTTTTAAAGGGACCGAACCGCCAGTTCAGCAACGAGGGAACGTTGTTGTACCCTCTTCGGCGTAGCCTTTTTAGGCTTCTTACAGTTCTTTGCCTTGTGGTTATACTTTACACAATTGTGGCAGTTGCCGGTAAACTTCCAAACATTGGCGGACTGCTTCCCCTTGTTAAGGAGCTTCCTCTTGCTCAAATTGCCTTGGTCTAGTAAGTTAGCGAGCCCCATCATCAGAGCTTTCCCTGGAGACTTACGGTTGTCCTCCTTAATCAAAAGAGGAACAACTAGATCTTCAAGACTCATCTCCTTCCTCTTATGTTTGTGGTAGCTCTTGAAGTCTTTCCAACTCGACAACAACTTCTCGAGCACAATCTCAACTTGGAACGACTCGCTCAAAGCCATTCTTTCAGCGTGGATATCGTGAAAGATGAGTTGGAACACTTGTACTTGAGATACAGAGGTCTTCGAGGCGATCATATTGAAGTCAAGAAACTTGTCGACGACGAATCTATTCGCCCTGACATCCTCAGTTTTGTACTTCTTCTCCAAGGCTTCCCAAAGCTTACTGGCAGAACCAATTGAGTTGTACACATTGTACAACTTGTTACTCAGTCCGTTAAGGACATAATTCTGGAAAAGGTAATATTACCTTGCCCCCAAGCGTCGTACGCAACGCATAGTTCAACATTGGCTTCATTTTCAGCCACAACACGGGGTCCTCCTTCGAGTACTTTACTAAACCTAAGGTGGTTTGATAGAAGTGCATTTTCTGCTGCCACGTCTTGAAGTCAAGCCTGTTAAATATTCAGTCGTAGATACATGGACAATAGGTACTGGATGGTGGTGTTGATCGACTGTTGAGTGTGGGAGCCTTTTTCGGTTGATGCCATTAGTTCAGTAGGTATCGATATTTGTCTTGAGATTTGTGACAAAATGATTGTAGAATACAACATGAAACCTATGAACTGAAGATGAGTTTTCAATTCTTACAACTGAACTATAAAACAGAAAACAAAATTACAATTCTAATGCAGATAGATAAAAGCCGAGGCGATTAAAGTATTTTCGCAAGACAAATATGCCCCGTGTAGTGCTAACTGGTCTGTGCGTCTTGTCCCAAAAAATACAATGATTGACGTCTCGAAGGCTGTAGCACACCAACTTTCGAGCTCCAACAAACTTAAACGGAGTCGAGAATTTAAGCAGTATGTATATGCATGAGGCTGTGAGAGTGCAACGGTGCAGATGGTATGATCTGTGTGTCCTGCAACTCTACACCATGTCTTATTTACACGACTTCCAGCTAAGAAGCAAAAGACATCAGTCATCTGCTACTTAAGGTGGGTAACAACCCACTTAAGGTTGTCTTAATGGGCACGAACGGTCAAACCATTTTTCAGGTATTAACACACCACTAGTCCGGTGTTAACACTCCACCTGAAACAGTCAAGTCGAGTCAAATGTCCAGGTTCAATGTACTTAGAGAGGTCTCACTCGGGTTGGGTAAAATACTTCAGTCCGAATCCAACTTGATTTAGATTTTTGGGTCACAATTGCAAGTAAATTTGCAGCAAAAAAATATATGTGTGGGCCCAAGCCCAACATCAAGCCCAAGACCGTCCAAGGCCGCTCAAGTCTAGCCCATAATCCAATTGCCAAGTACCTAGGACCAAGTCCCAAGGTCTCATGTCTAGGCCCGTGCCTGAGTTGAGCCGAGTCGCCTAACTGGCACGCACGCACGTGCGTGGCGGAAGCTAAGACCAACACTTGGTGCATAGCTTTGATATTATTGTGACCTCTCAAACTCTCTTTATCACAATAAAGAGATTAATTTCATTGAAGTGCCCAATGTGGGAATAACACGACCATTTGAATTCCGCAAACATCCTTTTACGTGATGACTAACTTTAATCATTTATTATTTTCCCTCACCGAAGAATTAGTTTTCAGAAATTAATTATACCACGAGTATCTACTTAGTATCTACTCGAAACATAAAATTTTTCTACAAAACTTAATTCAAACCGAATTAAAAAGGCATAATAAATTCAGTCAAAACCGGATTAAACCTAAATTTTATAACTGATTTTTCAACAAAAACTTCTCTAAAATACTTTTCTTTCTTTGATCCTTCGCCTAACAACTAAGCACAAGAAGGAGCTCAACGTTACATCATAATATCACGACTTCCCCACGTTTTCCTTATCAAATTTATTTCTATGGACAATCCATAGTGAAACCCCATATTTCTTTAGTTGTTTTCACTTGTCCAGGTGTTTTCTTTAACATTTTCGACGCAATCAAGAGCTTGGTTTTTATTTGCCGGTGAGCTGTCCGAGTCTTCAATCATTTTCACACTGTCTTTTTATATAGAAATAAGTTATTATTATATTATATGGTTTCTATGTTATTTATCCGTTCATATATTTAAAACTATAAATCAATATTTGAATATTACATTATAATTAACTATTATTCCTAATATCACATATATAGAATTTTAAAAAATATTAATGTTACTTCACTTGATAAAAAAGATATTACTCAAATAATAGACATCCAATCCACCGAATTTCTCTAACATATTTGATTTTATTTAATTTACACCATATATACACATATTTGATTCTATATAATTTTTGGTATTTATTTTATCTCGTAATTAGTTCGTCAAAAAAAAAAAAAAAAATTATATTGACAGCGTTAACAAATCATGGGTTTATGTTAATTAACCAAATAACCCAATCCATCATCAATTCATCATGTATTTTTTTCGGTCATTATTTGGTTTACAAAATGTAAGAAACAAGACCTTTCTATAATCATGATATTTTTCTAATTTGCATCCTATGATTTATATAGTTTATTTACCATACTATGCAATGAAAATGTAATTTATAATAATTTTATTGTAGAAAGAAGTCAAAATAAAATAAGAATACTAAACTTATCAAGAAGTTAGTTTGAAGACTCAGACTATGTCTGGTAAAACTAACTGATAGCTGATAAGCTAGTTTATAGGTTATCAGTAATTTTTTAGCTTATAGCTTATAGCTTATGACTTATAGCTGATAAGCTAGCTTATATGATAAAAGTGTTTGATAAAATTAGCGGATAAGCTAGTTGGAATAAAAAAAATTCAACTAGCTTATTTGAAAACTACCTAAGGAAACTTATCAAATAAACTCGAGCGTTCTACCAAACGAGGCTTATTTGAATATAGAGAGCTTATAAGCTAACCAAATAGGCTATAAGCTAGCTTATTTGTCTACCAAACATAACCTCAGCGGTTCAACCGATTCTGAAAATGAGGAAGTTAGATCCAAGTCAAAGAGATAGGTGAATCTGGATTCCAAAGATATGTTCTTGTTGCATTAACTTACTCTCAGTTTTGTCTGGAACAAGTTGCTTCATTTTAGACAGAGCTGAAGGAAGCTCTTCTGCTGCTAATGATAAGTTAGCAAGGAAAATATGCTGGAATCTAGATGTTAAAGGTCTACACATGTTGTGGTGAGGAGGAGGAAAGTAATGAACATGCTATGTTCCATTACACTAGAGCTTACACAGTTTTGAAACTATCAGCCTTGAATTGGGACTTATGTCAGAAGACAAAGAAAATTTTAAAAGATTGGTGGTGGCAAGTCTCAGCTCTTGACAAATAAGAGATCTCATAGGGCTGTATTCAACTCACCACCCACATCTTATGGTGGCTATGGAAGACCGAAACTTGTGTGTGTTCTATGATGAATGTATACTTGAAATGTTAATTGTTCGGTTTGCTTGGGTGCTGTGGAGGGAGTTTCCCTCGAGAAGAACTTTAGTGGCTGCTGCTTGGAGTTGTAGTTGAGTATATGTTCTTGTGTCCAGTTTTCTTCTACTCCTCTTTGTCGTTGCTTTTTCTATTTGTTTGTTTGTATGGGTTCTGGTGGCCGTAGGTTTCGAGCTTTTTCCGTCCTCGCCTTTAGCCGCCCTGTTTAGTTTGTTATGTTTTGTGTTTTAGGCTACTCTCGTGGCGTTCCTCCCTTGTATTTGATTTTGATTCAGACTAGTTGGTCCCTCAGTTTGTAAGATTGTTTTATTAGTTATATGAGTATTTCTGCTGCTCCAAAAATAAAATAAAATAAAATAAAAAACATGCAATTTATATTCACATCTCAGTTTCAATTCACTAACGAGATCTAACTTGAAAATTGGAGGTTTTGTGCGGAGAACTCTACCAGTACGTTTGTCCTGGTCCAAACCCGGTATAATCAAGAGACAATTTGCACATCACTATTCTAATTGACTCGATCAAAATTTAGTCCACTTATTTAGTTGTGGGGCTAGGACCGGTCCGGTTCCTAACGAATTTTTCAGGAACCGGAATCGGAACCGAACCAAAATAATCGGTTCGGTTATTACACAATTATTTATAGGAACCAAAAAGAACCGAACCGTGTTATAACGGTTCGGTTTTTCCGGTTCTTTGGGTAACCGACTTGTAAAAAAAACCAAAAATAACCGGTTTTGAGTTAATAACCGACCAAAAAAATGCAACTCATGTGCTAAATGTATCATGAAAAACCGAGACCGAAATGAAAAATGAGGAACCGAATATTATATACCAAGAACCGGAACCGATTTATATATAAAAACATATAAAACATGTATATTTCATATATATAGTCGGTTTTTCGGTTNTTTTTTGGTACATTTGGTACAGGAACCTTCCGGTTTCCGGATCCACAAGGGAACCGACTAATCCGGAATCGAGCCGGGTAGGACCACAAGGACGACAAAGCTCTCCCTCAAGAGTTTTAACACTACTGCATTCCCTGCACACCACTATTCTAATTGACTCTATCCAAATTTAGTCCACTAATTTAGTTGTAAATTAATTTCATTCTTCAAATTGGTCCATTTATCACCAAGATCAACTGTTGATGTGGAATAACTTGTGCACTTCACGCCAAATGACAATAAGCATACTCATCATTTTAGAATTGATGTAGCGTGGAATCAAACTTGGTGTCCCTTAAACAAACATATCCAAATCCATTCACTTTCCTCCTTTTCTTATCTTAGTTACTCTAGTTTTTTCCTAATACATAAAGATAGTTAGTAATTATTTGATAATATTATTTTACATGAGTCAAACTATTAAAGTAGTTATATATATATATATATATATTTGGGTGATGCTACAGTCTCGTTTCTATCGGAATTTGTAACCATTAGATCAACTATTTTCGACGGTTATATGATGATCTAACGGTTACAAACCCGACGGAATAATTCTGTAACAGAATCGTAGTATTTCCTTATTTATTTATTTGATTTTGCAAAATAAATTCAAATGAAAACGTGAAACCCGGGGACGGTGCCGGCCTTTGTCAATTGCATTGCATGACACAAACCAATACTTATATCCCATCAACCACGCTCATCAATTGACTCGATCAAAATTAAT